TATTTTCACTTTCACCCAGCCGACATTACAATGCCTGCTGAATGGTAAGCATTCCACACAATGCAAGATCCATGTTGCCAACATAGCAAACATCGGCGGATGACGATTTCCTCTTATTCACATCACACTCTACGTCAATGTGGCCTTGTTGGCATATTGCAGAAACAAAGCATGGTTGCAGTCACCTGTAGCACAATGTCTGCATGTTGAAAACTATTAAGAAACAAGGAGACACACACTTGCAATGGAAAATTTATCATGATAAGAAGAATATTAGTACATTGAAAGTTTACCAGAGGACGGTATGCTCGCAGTGGTTGAAGCGCACATGGTTCATGGAAAATGTATGGACAATAAGGAACACACAATAACAATGGTGATGCAAAATTTCACAACTATTGGTGCACATGTGAAATAAAAGTGAAGCATAGTTACATTGGTAGTGCTAGCAACACAAATTAATTAACCATATATAGAAAGATAAATAACCTAAAACATGCCAGGTAAAGGAAGAATGTACTTATATCACAATATGCAGCAAAACGGCTTTACAATAAAAGCTTATATATGTATGAAGCAATAGAAGCACGACCCGTTGGAAATAAAAATGTGAGGAAGAATGAAGCATTCTTGGTAATGGTTGAAGTTATGCTTGGTAATTGATGAGAAAAGTTAACAAACAATACAAACTCGACATAACTAATCTTCTTATGAAGCATAGACCATTCAAAATATGCCTGTCGACAAACAAAATGAGCTGATTTTTGGTTGATGAGTAGAAGCAATTTTCTAGTCGAATGGAATTGATGCTTTCACAGCGTATATGAGTCGTCATAGAAGCATTCAAAGTTGAAATCCAAAATTCGTTCTTGCCAACAAGATTTAGGTGCATCAATGCTTTCGACAACTAAAAATGCCATGCTAATAAAAGTAGAAGCATGAGTCAGTTGAAGCAAAAATGTGTAGACTGAAGAAACAAATATATGATGATTAGGAATAATCGATGTTATTTTTATTATGAGAATAGAAGCATGTATATTAGAAGCATCGATTTATTGCTACCACAACATAACTAATACCATGTGGAAGCGTATGTTTCTCAGATTAGTGAACATCAATTATTGCCACCAACATTTGGATGCATAATTATGTGATGTGCAAATAAATTGCATTATAATGCATCTAGTTTTCTCACACTAAACCTGAGACATGACATATAATATAGATCTAAATCAATTAGAACAAAATACAATCAATCAGTAGCACAATTGAATTAGGAAATTACTAGATCATATAATTTCATTACAAGGGTTTCAGTTTTGAAACAGATCAGAATGTAGATGCATGGTCGCCTAGCCAGTTGAGGATGTGATACGCGGATCGTGCGGGGCTAAGAACATAGACGGACTTCCCATCGACCCCACCGTGGGAACCGCGGCAAGAGAGTGCTGCTTCCTTGGAGATGGATGTCGCATCATAGAGATAGAGTAGAGAAGCCATGCCGTGCTTTGGATCAGGAGTGGGGGCAAGGGGGTGGGGGGCGCAGAGGGGCACAGTGGATCTGGGAGGTTCCGCGATTGGGGCGGAACGAAGCGCACGGGAGATAGGCAGCAGCCGCAATGACGGGGAGCAAAACGAAAGTGAGGCCGGCCGGCGGGGTGTAGGAGAGTACGGCGAGTGGGCGCATCCACGACGAGCAGAATGAGAGTTCGTTGCAAGAACTGCTTTTTTTTTAAATGGAACACCTGATTCCATTGGGCTAGCGAGATTAGGGGATTTTTTTTGTGGAGAGGGGGAATTAGCGAGATTAGGGGAGTCGTGGCATTATGGTGCGTGAAAAACGGTTTTTGGAAGGAGATTTTGAGGGATCTCTGGCCATGCGATCAAATAATCATCAACGGCAATGGATCGGTCTGACGAATTGTGTGGATCAGACGTGTGATATAAAGTATTTCCCATTTTTAACTCTCCACAGGGCCACGTTCAACCCTGATAGTCGTCCAGTCTTGTATGCCTTCTAATTAGGAAACCCGCCAAAGTTAAGTGATTGTTTGGATTGAGATTTGTTAGCTATGCTTGTATAGGAAGTGTTGTTAGTGGTGTTAGTGCTGACCTATCCTTACGGCTAATCCTTGTGTGAGTTAGTTGAGCGTTGTATCTATATATACGTGTAACTCGTTGTATCAATGTAATTAGTGTTGCACAAAACCTCTCTCTCCTACCTCGCTCGGGTTCTGACAAGAGTATTAGCATCGGGTTTTAGGAAAAACAAATGTTAAGCTGATTTTTTTGCTAAATCGGTATTACTACTTTTTCTCCACACAATCAGTTTAAGGAAAACTTTGTTCGGCTTAGGAAAGCGTGAAACCGGTTTATCTACTTCCTTGTTTGGAGACCGGTTGACCAAGGAAAAAATGGTTTTCTTTTCTCTCCCGTGGGCTCGTGGCCTTCCAAAGCTGGTGGCCATTTTCCCAAAATTTGGCCGGACGGCAGCTTCCGGATCTCTGATTCGTTGCAGCCATTTGCCTGCTGCCACGACGAGCACTTCCTGGCGGCTCGTCGTCCCTCTTTGTTGGAAGGCCCGAACATGGTTTTAGTTTGTTAGACTCTTAGACGGGTTTACTGAAAACCAGTTCGGCTAAACCAGCGTATCCAAACAAGGCCTAAATGTACTCGGTAATTTGGCTTTAATAGAAACAAGGCCTAAATGTACTCGGGTCGTCCAGGAGGGTCTGCAGCACCGGCAGCATGGAGAATGCTATGGAAGCAAAAAGTTCCTCGTAAAATTCAGATTTTTGGATGGAGGGCATTACATGGAATAATCCCTTTAAAGTCGATTCTCGTTAACAGGCATGTGGGAGGGAATGGAGCTTGTCCTGTTTGCCATCAAGCAGCAGAAGATATCTGCCATCTCTTGTTTGAATGTGTCAATGCAAGAGAACTCTGGGAGCGACTCGGTATGACTAGCATTATTCAGGATGCTTTGCGGATCGATCGATCGGGATCGGTAGTCCTGGAGCACTTACTCCTTCAGCCAGAGATGATGCTTGCGATCAAAACGAACCTATCGGTAAAGCAAGTCCTTTTGGTGGCATGCTGATACTTGTGGTGGATACGACGTGATGGCATACTTCGGTGTTGGCAATTGCAAATAATTTTTATGAAGCTTCTCTACCTAGATCAGGGACCAAGCAACTGGGGTGGATGAAGCCAGATATTGGGTATGTGAAACTAAATGTTGATGCGGCCTTCTATCCAGATGAAGGAAGAGGGGCAACCGCGGCTGTGATTAGGGACGGGAAAGGTAACTTCCTTGTTGCACATTGCATCTACTTAGACTATGCTGCTGATGCAACGATGGCTGAAGCTATGGCAATGAGGGACGGGCTCACATTTGCTAACTCTTTGGGATTCCCTCGGGTGGAAGCAGAATCAGACTCACAAGTGGTGATAAATTATTGTGACGGACAACCCATATGGGGGGATGCGGCAGCTGCAATCTTTGCGGAATGCCTGGATGTATCTACTTCGATCGGGAAGGTCATCTTTAAGCATTGTTCTCGTACGCTTAATAAAGCAGCGCATGTGCTTGCTCAATTTTCTTATTGTAATAAGACTTCTGTTAGATGGACTGAGGAGCCACCGAGCTACCTAGTCCAGGTACTTGTGGACGATGTACTGCCTCTAAACAATTAATAAAGCAAGCCATAATGGCCTTCCCTAAAAAAAATGCTACAATCATTTCTGTAAAAGTTGGAAATGTGTATATGCTCCACATACATGTATTAGGGAAAGAGTAGAGGCGGGGCGGAAGGCAAAATTTGTTTTTTTAGCATCAGTACAGACACAAGCGCTCATATACACACGCATACACTTACCCCATGAACGCACACACGCACACCCTATCCCTATGAGCACCTCCGAGAGACTGAGCCGGCATATCATCTTAAGATTTACGAAGTCACTGTAGGCGTCTCGTCGTCGACGGGAACGTCTTCTCCCACTGAAATTTGTTCATAGAAGCTGATGCGGACGTAGGTAATTTTTTTTTTTTGCATACTTAAAATGTACACGTATCAATGACTCGATTGTCGATTGTAATCAAACTTCAGATCGGAGAAAGAAACAGCAGGAAGTTGACAAATGGCGCGCACGTACCATACCCTTGCGAGTAGGCGCCACATACAAGGGCCCGAGCACACTTGTCCAAGGACGGCCAACATCATCCACAGTCACAGGCGTCTGCATCCTCCTGTTTTGACCCGCCACACGGCATCCTCGCTCCCATCCAATCAACCCCTCCCATTTTCAAACCGAAGAGAAAATAATGGCCGCGCGTCACTGTCTCGTGCAGAGAGAGATCAACCGATCCTCGCAGATTTGCCTGGATACCAAAGAAGCCATCGAGCTGCCGTTCATCGGCTGATCTCTCCCAAGTCTGAACGCTGCATACGCCTCACACCGGCCGGCACAGTGCGTGGTTGCGACGGTACGACGTGGTTATAGCGCTTTGTAGGGCTGGTGAAGCGGCTAGCTGCACCATCCATATTCCCTACGCAATCCAGGATATTATTCCTCGCGCCGGTTTCATTTCCCATTGATCAGTGGTCATTATTCATCTCGTCAACTCAACGGCCGGTGTGTGTTTGTGTCTGTCTGCCCGTCTTTTCCCTCCAATCAAGAGCTAGAGCCATTTCAGGTCGTTTTCTGTGACTACGTCGCCTCGCCGGCTTTCCCGTTGCATGGTTCTATATATGTAACCACCACGGGTGCCCACCTATGTTCTCCTCTCCAGTTCTATATCCCTTTGCGCCAGCTACTTTGATTTGATCTGCTGCCTCTTCCTGCTCAGATAGGTACCATCTTGTTTCTGTTATCCATGTCTAGTACCAGCTTGTCCCGCCGTTGCCGGTAGAATTCAGCTAGTTCAGCAACTGGCAACTTGTTTATTTTTCGTTTTTCTTGTAGGGAATCATACCTGTGCGAAGGAGGATCCGTCGATGGTGATGATGGGGCAGCTGGGGAGGCTGGTGGACGGGCTGAGGTCCAAGATGAGGGCCGGCGGCGGGAAGAAGGGGGCGGGGAAGAAGGCGGCGGCGGCGGCGGCGTACGAGCAGATGGGGAAGACGGAGAGCATGAGGGTGGAGATCAAGAGCCGGCAGGCGCAGAAGCTCATCGCCAAGAACCTCGTCGCCGCCGACTCCATAGGCCGCAGGAGCAGGAACAAGCGCTTCTTCCTCGCCTTCTAGCTGCCGGCGTTCTTCAGAAGGAAGAGCTGTGTCCTGTCCTAACATGTGAGCTTTAGACAGTACAGTACGTACCGTTGCGTAGCGAATGTAAAGAAACCTCAGGAAAGCAACCGCATACAGCGGGAAGCTCTCTGTTACCACCTGTAACCACACATGCAGTACTATCTGTCTCACCCGTGAACTTGCCACTTAGCAATCCTGACATTAGAAGCGACGCGTTTTGTGATTAAATCACGAATTACAGTCTCTGAACTGTGTAAGAAGGACCTAGGTCCTGACTGATGAAATAAATATCCCTTCCACCCGCAAAGAAAAAAACACGAATAACAAATAGCTGAAAAAGCTTTATTGCTATCTTTAAATGTAATTCACGTTGATGTAATGAAAGCGAATGACCCATAACAATGACAGAACGCCCCGAGTAATTGACCTGTTTCCCAAGCAGAGTGTTGTGAAACCTTTCCTCTTTACTTTCCTTTTGGTTTGCACAACCCAAAAAATGATTAAAAAAAGGGATTGTATCAACAATTATATACACAAGTTCCTCCGTCCGAAAATATTTGTTGAAAAATGGATGTTTCTAGTCCCTTTGTCCGAAAATATTTGTTAGAGAAATGAATATATGCAGATGTATTTTAATTCTACATGCATCTATTTTTATCTATTTCTGTGACAAATAATCATGGACGAAGGTAGTACTTTGCTTTTTAAGAAAATTGACATTTGCAAACTGGGATCAATGTTTGGTCAAATTGTATGAGTTGTCATTAGCTCACCTGTATATGCATGTGTGAATGTCTCCGTGCCTACAAGTACAGGCTATATATAATTAAGTTGTTTCGGTCGTATAGAATGACTTTATGGACTCTCTTAAAATTGGCTTTTGCCCCGTTTTATATAAAGCAACAATTGAAAAAAGTACACGTCTAGACAGATACAAAATGGTCACGTAGCTCTCGTACAACACCAATCGCATGATAACGCAGAACTCAAGCGACATTACCGAAAGAGTACAAAGGAAGACGGTGTACAACGTCACGCTACGTCCGATAACACCTAACCTCCATGACAACACCCTCAGGACAGAGAACGGCTATAAGCGTCACCGCTGCCAAGTCCAGGACGGACAAGGGTCTTCGCTCGAAGCCTTGGCACGGAAAGGAGCACCACGACAACATCAGTGGGAAGAGAGCATCGTCTACGAGCGTCGTTGTCATCGGCGTAAAGTGCGAAGCATTTGCTCCGCCACTCCCCCATGCAACCACAGGGTTTCCAGGACAAGCGCGATGAGACCAGATCCCCAGATCCGGATTGGGGCGTCACCGTTGTCGGCGACAAAGCGCGGAGCTTTCGCTCTGCAGCTCCCCCATGCCATCACGAGGTCTCCAGGACAAGCGCGACGAGACCCGATCCCTAGGTCCGAATCGGGGCATCACAGCTACCAAATAAAGAGAGCCGCCTGAGCCACCCATCGCTACACCTCTCACCTATTAGTTATGACCATATCATCCTCTCCCCCTTGAAGCAAAACCGTCCTCGGTTTCGGTTCGTTCTCTTCTGTAGTACTTTTATTTACAGACGGAACAATGTCCATAAAAATTTCAGCGGCTTCAACCTTCTTTGTGTTCACTTCTGATGCAGCTTGAGCAATATCTCGCTTTCGACGATCAGCCATATAGTTCTCTGATGTGTACGACTCAAGTGGTACGTACTGTCCGCCATGAACAAAAGAAAATTCACCAACCGAATGATATGTCAACTGCCTTTTATCTGTCCATGGTTTTCCTAGCAGTATCGAACATGTATGCATGTGCACAGGAAGCACATCACACATGACCCGATCACCATATCCGCATAGAGTAAACCGTACCTCGATTCGATGCATGATATTGACAAACCTGTCCTTCCACCAAAGCTCGTAAGGTTCTGGATGTTCAATCAACAACAGGTTCAAAGCATCAACCATAGTCTTACTTACTAAATTCATACTCGAATAACAATTCATCAAAGTTGCACAACTCGCCGGCCCGACATGCACGCGCATAAAGCATTGGTACCACGGCAAGGCACGCAATGGATCCTTTTCCACCGACATCATCATTTGCGAGCTACAATCTTTCCTCATGATAAAAAATTCAATAGAACTCGAAGAAAAATATTGTACCGTGAACAACCTTTGCTCTGAATACCAACTGATATTCACCGAACCTCGATGGCGAGATCCGATCTGTTATTGCGGCCCGATCTTTCACGGTACTCCACCTTCAGTAGCAGTAATCTCTCGCCCGCGCACGTGATGTACACGAAGTAGAGGGTTTGAACCTTGCGGCTCAGCACGAGAGAAACAATCTGGACGACAGCACCTCACGCGCAAAACAATTTCCACACAGAAATCGCAACAAAGAGGTTTTCTAAAGCTACCTCAAAAACTTGATACGGGTGTCTACCCCTGAAAACACATCTGTCTATTTCATATCAAAATATAACCTGCATTACATGGGACGCATAACTTGGCTTTATAGTAGTAGCCGGCCTAGAAACAAAGCTAAACTCATGTGGACTCTTACTTTTATCCTAACTAACAAAGAATTAACTAATTAAATATTCGCCAACCAGATAACAAACTAGACTCCTTATTTTGGTCGTGGCGTCTCTTTCTCGTGTAATATGCGTGTAGGTGGACCCCACCCAACAGCCTTTAAACACAACAGATCCCATACAGAACACGTGTAAGACTGATCCTTCTCTTTCCTTGGTAAAAATAGAAAGATAGATAACATCTTGATCTCCTTCCGTTCAAACCAATTCTCCTTCCTTTCATCCCAAAAAATATGTGCGTGCATTCCTTTGAAACAAAAAGAATGCTTGACTGATCTCCATGCTGCATTAGCACATAAATGAGGAGTATTATTTTTCCATACCGCATGTGAGGCCACGTCCTCATGCTGATTTGCATCTAGCAAGTCTCTTCCAGAATTTGCATGCGCCACGTCCTTTTCTTTTCTTTCTTTCATCCCAACAAGATCTCTGCCGATGCAATAATTAGCATACCTATTAGTTATGACCATATCATCTCCCGTCCCCGTTGCGTGTCTGCCTCGCCGCCACGTAGGCGCTGCACCCCTGGCCCGCCACACCACTGCATGTCGGTCGCCACCGCCATGCGCTGCACCATGCACAAAGTCCTCGTTGGGCGTCTGCGCCCCGTGCCGCGATCCTCCATGAGAGGAGAAAGAGAGATCCCTGCCACCGCCGACGTTGACCAGGCTTTTCCCGACGGTGCCTCCTAGTGACGACGAGGTGGATGGGCCGAGGGAGGGGGACTGGGTGGGTGTCGGCTAGGGTTCGTCCGACCTCTTGCGGGAGAGGCGCGGGGCGAACGAAGGGTTTCTCGCTGCTCCTTTCCAATGACAAACTTAAAAGACAAATGAGATGAGCCTAGGAAACATTGCGACCAAATAACACATGAATAATTGTCTATTGGCTCCCTCAAAAAAAAGCTTTTAATAGCTGGCTATAATTTCGCTATAACTGTTTGAGCAGGGTGTCTGCTAAATATTATTTATGTACAATTATACAGTAAAATTATGCTGGTTTAAGGGGCCGGCTCTATTTGACATAATCCGCTATTTAAAACTATGCTCTTTATGCACTGAGTGAACCAAATTGACTGCCACTTGTAGTCAGTGAACCAAATTGACTGGCAGCTGCAGTTAACTTTGGCCACAAAACTGAAGCGGATTAGTGCGGCTGATCGCCCGTCCTCATATTTGACTTTGCTCATTATCAGTCGTGTCTGATTTTTCTCTCATGTGGCTTATCCGTCGTCCGTCGCCACCCCCTCTCTTTGAAACAAGAAGCTTACGCAAGCCACCATTATATGCTCCATATAGTCTGTCTACTTACCCACCTAATACGCTAATTCTGTGGGCTTACAGCCAAGATAATGAACCATTATACAGTCATGAAAAGGTACGAGAGGATTTGACCGTTATTTTCGTACACCGACCACAGCGACCCCACCGCAGTGTGACGCAACGTACGGTGCCGTACCGCCAGTAAACAATTCAAACTACGGATATGCTTCCCTCATCCTACATTAGGTAAACATTATCAGTGCATGACGTGCATGATCTTATTAAGCCAAGATTGTACATCATCTTGCAGTATTTTTCAAAAGAAATTGTTTTAAAAAGGAGGGGTGAAAACCTCGCCTGTGCGTCCACGGATGCGCGAAACCTTATTAAATATTTGGCCACATGCCTTCCTCTCTTCATCGAGAGGCGATGAGGAACACATGCGCCATGGTGTTCTTGATTAATTATGGATGCTAAATCAGACATTTGCTTCCCTCGGAAGCAGACCCCGCTACCCTTAGGTAAGACAGGGCATCACAACAGATCCGCCATGTGCAAACTTGACTATGATCCACATTGATTAATGAATAGCCTTCTTTTGTCAAACTGTAATCAATTACATAATTCATAGCCTCATAATGAGATAAAGGTAGAATTAATATTTTCCGAAGTTCTATCGACCACCGATATAACTCTGCACACACCAATGTTTGCTTTTCCTAGAACTAAAAGTGAAACTACTCCCTCCGTCTCATAAGGTAAGATGTTTTTTGACACTAAACGTCTTACATTATGGGACAGAGGGAGTACAATACATCAATAAAAAGATAGTTTTACAAGAAAAAAGCTAATTGCTTTAGTAGAGCTTTTGGAGAACAATGAGAAAAAGGTTTGTCCCTAAGTAATTGATAACTAGATTGATAATCATTATTATAGTTTTATATGAGGGGGTGGCTTAAGGTAACATACTTTTCGTTGTTGGATTACGTGTACTTATGGTTGAAACTCTAGCCAATATCTGCGAGTATTAAAGATCATTAAGTAAAACCAACCATAGCATGAAGTGTAAAGTCCCCTTTAATCCCATACGAAACAACCCACTTACTCGGGCTTAGGTTTCTATCACTCCCGCAACCCACTGTAAGCGAATTATGAACATATTACAACACATTACGGCCATTTCCCTCACATCACCCTTGTAGAAGCAGTTCATAGCATTCATGAAATCCTGTTTTATGATGTTCCAGCAAGTGGCATAGAACCAGCCCATAAACCCATCCGGTCCTGGTGCCTTATCCGAAGGCATAGCTTTGATCACGCTTTCCACTTCCTCCATGGTGAAGGGCTCCTCAAGCTGCGATAGGTCTAACTGCGGTAGGTCAAGCTCCTCAAGATTGAGGGCGTAACTCCGTGACTCCATGATGCCAAAGGCCACACCGTAGTAAGCATCAACCGCGGACGCCACCTCATCCTGACCAGAATAGATGTTGCCATTATGTTTCACCGATCTAAGGGCGTTCTTCCTCTGTGTATGACTCGCTTGCTGATGGAAGAGCCTCGTGTTTTCGTCTCCCTCGCGCAGCTACAACAGGCGCAATCGCTGCCTCGAAATGGTTCTCTCGAGAGAACACATCCCTAGAAGTTTCTTTTTCAAACATCTCCTCAAGTCCCTCTCCGTGGCCGAGAGTTCCCTAGAATCCATAGCAATATCTAGTTGTTTTATCACCTCCAACGCGATGGAGATTTGTAGTTTCACATTCCCAATCCAACGAGCACTCCATCTTTGGAGACTAACCGCTGTGGCTCGCAGCTTGTTGTGAAGTGTGAGATAGTCATTCTAAGCCTCCGATGTTGAGTTCAAAGCCAACTGCACCGCGTCCATAAATCCCTCCGCTTTGATCCAAAACGCTTCAAACTTTGACATATCAACTATGTTGGCAAATAGCATACACACTCTTAAGAATTTTTGGGAGAAAAGTGAGGGAGGTTTTGAAGTTGAAGTGCAAGGACGAAAGTGAGGAAGTAATTGCTAGGGATAATACATGGACATCAGTGGCTATGTTATGTGGGCAGATTTGGCAAATTTGTAAGCTATTGTCTCTTCCCCCATGAAGCCAGCAAAGGTTAAAATCTCTCAAATTAGGAACACCTAGGCCACCAAAAAAAATCCTGGCCACAAGGCCCCAATGGGCCAAATGATATTTATATAAACATCTCCCAGGTACGCCACAATAAGTGAGCCATTTGAGAGGAAATAGCATTCACGGCCTATTTAGGAAACTTGATAAGGGACATTAGATAAATAGGAATACTACTTCCTCTCAAATTCTCTGTTTTTTAGGGTACTCTCAAATTCTCTTTACTACTCCCTTCGTCCCATAATGTAAGACGTTTTTTTTTACACTAGTGTAGTATCAAAAAGCGTCTTACATTATGGGACAGAGGGAGTAGTTCCCACCGCACACCAAACTTGGAATTGGGACTAAAAATCAACTTCCTAGGCCTAATTCCCTAACAAACTCCCACATGTTAACTCCAATTCATTTCCCCATTGTAGCCAAACACGTTGTTATGAAAAGAGGTAATATCATTGGGAGTCATAGAACTTGTGTTCGATGTTCACTTTGATGCTAAAACTTTAAAAATACGAATTTATGGTCATCCAACTTGCGTTCTTGTGCAAATACGGTCACTTTGGTCATATTCAGACGTATCCCGCACTTACGTGGCACCCCAGCGCGGCTACGGCCCATTGTTAGTGACCGAAACAGCTCGCTACATTTTTTTTCTTTGCAGAAGCACCCTTGCTCTGTATTTAATTAATTTAATTGAGCATAATCCTCTTTGTGTGTCCCACTTGTCAGCATGAGGTGGTGTGAAAAATGAAAATAAGTACACACGCAGGGATTTGAACTCCATACACCTCGGGTACATCCATGCACAAGCAAACCACTACACCAACTACATATTCCTTACTGTAAAGAGGTAAACCTGATTTTATATTAGACGCAGTTCTTCCTAGATTCCGTTTTTCCCAGGTTCGGCTAGTAAAAACTGGATACCGGAAAATCTCGCCTTTTTTCACCAAAAAGCAATTAAGAAAACTGTTTCAAAATGTATAATGTTTAATCCATACCGTACAAAACTTTGTCATGAGCGAGAATTTTTTATTCCATTTTTTTCGAGAGGGTTGGAAAAATCCGGGTTTCAAAATATCTTGGCAATTCCAGTTTTTATCTACCAAAATTTTGAAATGAATTTTGAATTCAAATCTTTTTATCATCTAAATGTATTTAATTTAGCAAAAAAAAAGTGACGCATGTTACAGTGGTCAGCTCAACTCCTCTCTTATATAGAAGTTTGCATGTTCAATTCATTGTTACATTTCGAGACCATTTTTATAAATGAGCATGAATAAAGAAAAATATATTTCACAATACAAGGAATAGAATCGCGGCCCCTGCCACTAAGCTAACTATGTCATTATGATATTGTATGCACACAAAAGTTATTATATTTGACATAGTTTTTGTCGTTTAAATTCAAAATTTTGGGCGACAACATTTTTTCCGGGGACCGCCAAATTTACTGGGGACTGATCGGTTATCGAAAATTCGGTCTGAGAGAAAAAGAACCTGAATACGAGTAGTGGTCGTGGACAATATATAAAATCGGGCTTCTCTCTTTACAGGCACTGGTTGGTACTTAGTGTAGCGTTTAGTTGCAGTGTGTCCACGCTTGAGGTTGAGAGATCGAATCTGTTGGGCCACCCTTTTTTGTCACTCAATTCGCATTGGGCTTCTGTTTGTGATTATAAACGAATTTTAGTTGATCATGTTGAACGTCAATCGGCACTGATGGAATGATGTATGGCGGACTATTTTATTGACAGGTCCCGTGTTTGAACCCCATGTGTGCCATCTTTTTTCATTATATTTGAGGGCTTTGTGTGCATTAAATAAATTGTGAGGGAGTTCTCTGTAAAAAATCCAGCGTGCTATGGTCACCTAGTGCCTTGTGCATTCCCAACCACTGACAAGTGGGCCTCCACCGGGCTGGCACGCCATGTGGACAGGCCATGTGGCTGGATACGAGAGGAAGCACCGTATATGCACGCGGGGACAAGTTATGTGACCATAAATCCGTATTTTTAAAGTTTTAGCACCAAACTGAACATTGAGCGCAAGTTTTATGACTCCCGGTGATATTACCTCTTATGAAAAAGGTGGCGGGGGAGAGATGTGTTTTCAACCTAAGAGAGATAATGCAGAGATGAAATGTGCAATGCATTCGTTTCTGCTCTCTTGGATAAACGTAGAAAGACACTATCTCATTTTGTTAATATTCTTATAGAGGTTTGAGTTGGCAGTGGTATGTTCGATCTTTTGAGATATTTTTGTATCATGCCACAAGCATTAAACAACATGCAACATTACCTGCAAAAAAACATGCAACAAAATAATCCTCTATAGCTATGCACCAACATTTAACTTCTCTAGAAATGCGAGTTTTAGCTAGTTTTGTTTTAAAAAAAGGTTGTTGTTTACCACATTTCATGAGCAGTGAGAAGAAAAAGAATCTCATTTATAGGATATTCTAAACACCGAACACTTGCGATATAATGAAAATCTTACTACTTATGCAAAATTCTGCTAATGAACCTTGAACACAACCACAATATTACCTAGGAGTTAATCCACCAACCTCCAAGTTCTGATAGCCTGCTAGTGTTTTTTTAAATGTTACCAACCTCCAATTTAGTGGATCTCCACATGCTACCAGTAAACAGCAATATCAATTCAGCTGAAAGTATGCTCAAGTTTAAGTCAGTTAGCAAACCCTTCCATGCGAACAACATTTCATGATCCTTGGTTAACTATCAACCGCCTAGATGGGCAAGACCTAGAGGTTAGAGATCACCAAAAATGCTTGCTGAGTCATGAAAAAACTGTTCCTCTCGACATCCAGTGCTTCCAGCGTGTCTGATCTCAAAATCCTTCACTGACAACACCTCATACAATTGATCAGCATCCATTTGTAACAAGATGAGCTCAGCATCAGCCCTCCCCTGAAGCTCTTCACTCGATAACCGGTGCCTTTGCTTTCTTCGCATGCTTCTTGCTAGTTCTTTGCCTTTTTCGCTTATCCCCATTGACATCTTCTTTCCTTTGCTCCGTGTTCTCAATAGGCTGTGGCCTCTTCTTCAAAACTTCAGAATTGCTGAGTCGGGAACCATATACCATCTTCCGGACAAAGAAGCCCGCGACATCTCCATTGTCACGCTTCAGGAGTACCGGTTTTTGGAGTCGCCCACTGGAGTCCTGAATGTTTCAGCAAAAGTATAAAGTACAAAGGTTAATCGTGTGCCGCTGCATGTTTCAGTAATTCAGACTGGTGCAATCCAGAAATTCAGTTGAATAAGCAAACTACGGTAAGGAACCAAACTATGAAGTCACACGCACCTTAGTCTCTTGGCCATCTAATTCATCAAAGGCTTTATCTGCCTCATCTATGTCATTAAAAGAAATACACGTAGAGTAAAACTCGCCTCGAATCCTTGAATCAATCTGTTGAAAAGGAAAGGGAATAAATCACTAATTTATGCATACAAGTTTGTCGAACAAGCAACAAAAGCTCTGAGAAAACCTTCTCATCGATGCTGGGATTCCCAGAGAAAATTTTAAGCAACTCTTGACAAGGAAGGTAGACTGGAATTCTATGAGCAAGCAACTTCATCTGGTCAGGTTCAGGTACCTAAGAAATAAAAACTCATAAGTCAGGTAGCAACTTGAATAACAACGGGAAGGACTAAGAACTTCCTTTCAACTCTTACACTATTCTCCGCAATTTCGATGGGATCATTAAATCCATGCTTGAGCTTTGCGGTAACTAGATTCATCGCAGCTTCTGCATCCTTCAAGCAGTTATGTGGTTCTCCGTCTTCCCGAACGGAATACCCACAAACAGACTACAGGCACAAAACATAAGTAAACAATTTAGCATTCATAGATACATACCATGGGTTTTCTATCTGAAGATCTAAGAGGACTGGCTTGCGGCACCAATAGGGAGAAAAAATTAAACCAAAAAAAGAATGGAAGTATCTCGCAATCCTGAAATCAAACATTACTCTAGATAGTTTAGGGGGGCATGAGATCCCAAAGGAGTCAGTCCTTTTATGTCATTATATTTGTCTTGCGTGCAAAATGTTGCTCATTTAGCAGAAGCGAAAACACTGCTATATGGTGCCCTCTGACCATACCTTGCAAAGGCTGTTCAAAGAAGCTGATGAAGTGGTAGGTAAATTCGCATACTTAAAGATGTATGCCGTATCAATGACTCGACTGTAATCAAACTTCAGAGCTGAAATCAGAGAGAGGAACAATAGGACCTTGAGTTAAATGTTATCGAAGAAAAAAACATGTCTAACAAACACAATACAAGCACTGAATATAACTACTTCAAGAAGATCAGACATGATCCAATCACACCTTACCATATAGATCTCTATATAAGCTATGGCCAACCAAAATCTTTCCTTTGGCCAAGATTTTCTTCAATGATTTCTACAGAAGAAAGAGACACAAATATAACTCACACGAAGGAAATAAAAAAAAATGCAAGATAATTGTACAGACAACATACCTGAATATCAACTAATGAGCATGTGACTCCTTCTAAATCCTTCTTAGATACACCAGTGATGTGTGTCCTGTAGTCTGCAACAGCTTTCAGGGGATTTACAAGTGTATCCAACTTCACCTGAGAAAAAATGAATGTTAGCGGGACTGGATAAACAAATCTAAATACACTTTATTTAGCAAAATAATATGTTACCTCCAGTTTGTTGTCTACAACACATACTCGGACGACAGCTTCTGTACCATCGTGGCAAAGGACCATCTCACAGTCAATTGCCAACATGGCTCCAGAGTTCATACTACTAGAAACTTTTCCTATCCGCATTACTTTCCACCCCTGCAAATAAATAGTGCCAATAATTTTTGGTAGTGGAGAAGCTGAAATATTCCTTAATTATCAGACAAGTACATGAAGAGTCCAAGATACTAATACTACATCACTAAAATTACTAAAGTACAATAAGGAGATGAGACTGTAAATTGGTCTTGAGCTTTGCAACTTAGACAAGGGATAAATATGTTTTGGATTTTGTATAAAGAATCCTACGCGATGTACAAGTACCAATGTGAAAATGTGATCCAAGCAAAACAATCATGAAAGTTATTCTGGCCTAAAACCTAATTTCGACAGAAAAACGTGCAAGAAACACAAAATGTTGGATCATCGTTTGTTAGCTTGTACCTACCTCTTGATAAGATGGGAAGTAGTAGTTTTTCCTGTAGTCAAGGTGCTCTGTCGTCAACTGAACAAGCTTCTGCATTTGCACAATATATACATCAATACACTGGTTCACCAAACAATGTTTGATATGCTTGAAAACTAGTACATGAATACAGCAACCCAATTGCTCACATTAACCCTTCAGGAAGGCGAACATTACCTGCTCCGGAGAAATCTTGCCGGAAAACTCATTCATATACTGCTCGATAGCTCTCCGTTCAGCGTGACGCCTCACCAATTTGCGAAAGTACTGGAACCAAAAGCAGAGGCTCTAAAACTGTCAGTGCCATGGTCCGGATGCATAAAACAGAGCAACATTTACCTTCTGAATCAAAGTATTACCTTCTGAAAATCTTTGGAGAAGGTTACGAGGAACGCGAGCAGCACGTCCTTGGTCCGCTTCTTGGGGTCGCTGACGGAGGCGCCGAACTTCTTGTCGTTCAGAGCCAGGAAATCCTTCCATCCCCCCTCGGCCCCCTTCAGGCCGTTCTTCTGGGTGAACCTCACAATCTCCACGAGCACCTGGAAAGTACGAAGGTACGCGGAATAAGAGACAGACCTCTCCGGCAGGTTCTCGCTCGCCGACTCTTCTGTTTGTTACCTCTTTCTCGGCGCCGGCGAGCCGCTCGCCCATCGGAAGGGGAAAGGGTTGTTGGTGCTTGGCTTGTTCTCGGACGGCCTTCTCTTCCGCGGCGTCGAAAAGAGATGGTGGCTGGGAGGGAGGCGGCGCGGCGGCGTATTGCTTTGGGTGCAGACGGCGGCGGCGGTCGAGCAGTGCGCAGCACGGGAAGATGGCCGAAAAAGTCCTGCTTCTAGGGCTAGTTGAGGGTTAGCCCAACGACGCAGCTTCGTAGAAGAATTTGCCCATTAACAGCCCATAATAGCGGAAAAGCCTATGTGGCACTTAAAGCGCCAAATACTAGCTTACTGGTACACGCCGCGCATTTTCGTTCCTACAGGGCCGGCTCATCTGGTCGTACAGCGTTTTTTAGACGATCATCTTCGGCCCAAGCACGTTCATCGCTCATAGCTTCTCATTTTTATTGTATGGCCAACTCAAGAGGCTTTCAAAAACCTTTATTGATAATCAAATCCGTGCATGTGGCTGAGCAGCAGTGGCGATATTCCTGTCCAATTGCAGTCTCTTACTAAAATATTAGAGACAAATATTAATACCACGAAGAAGATATCTCCAAGAAATTTCATTTTAATTCTTAGTTGTGTGAGTTGCTTTCCAATTTATTTGATCTTAGATCCAAAGCAAATGTATCTATAATAGTTTTGGGTATGAATGAAGTTACAGTTATTTCTCCAAATGAAACTACCAACTGATTTTGTGAAACTTCCAACCAGTTTTTTCTATTTTTGGCTTTCCCTAGATTTTTTTCCCTTTTTCTTTCCTTTTTCGTTCTCATTTTTATTTTTACTTATTTTCTATTTTACAATTCATAATTTTATTAAAAATCGCAAACATTTTTTCAAATTCATCCACTTTTCAAATCAAAATTATTTTGCTTTTCATGAACATTTACAATTTACGAATATTTAAAAAATATCATGACTTCTCTCAAATTCACAAATATACTCTTTAACAAACCGATATTTTTTTCCTTTACGTGAATATTTTTAGAAATTAAGAATTTAATCCGGATTCATGAACTTTCTAAAATATACTATAACCATTTTTGACTTTTAAAAAACAGTTAAACAACATGGTAGCTAGAAAAAAACTAGGCGAGCGAGCGCTGGACATGGCCCAGAAACCGCTGTGAGCGCTACACTCGCAGACTAGTAAATCCCAGACTCACCTAAAAAAAAGTAAATCCCAGGAACCGCAGTGAGCGGTATATGCCACCCGCTGCGACGCCTAGGAAGAACTCGCCTAGAACCAGCTGCCGCATCGGGCTCATGTTATGATGATGTCATGTGTGTTTTCTCAAAAATAATTATTGACATCATTTTTTTGCATTTCAGAATAATTAAAATATGTATATTAGAAAGAAACTTTACATAAAATTTTGAAAAACGTAAATTTTGTATTTAAGAAATATTAAATGTGTATAGAAATATATTTCTATTGTATACCAAAAGTGTATAAATGTGAATGTAAAACTTAGAAAACATTAATCATATAGACAAAAAATGTTAATCATCAGTATAAAAAATGTTTGTGACAATTTAAAACTGTTGCATATTTCAAAGAAATATACATGTTATTGAAAATGTTCATACAATGTAAAAACAAGTTTGTGAAACAAATCTTCACAAGTTCCAAAACTGTGTTTGTGTCATTTCCAAAGAATATTCATACAATGTAAAAAAATTGTATTGTACAAAAAGTTTTTTTATCATTTGAAAAATGTTTCAACATGTATTTGAAAAAAACACATATTTGAAAAGATATTCATTACATGTGTTTGTAGAAAAATATTAAACATCTATTTGGGCGATGTTAAATGGGTATGAACCAATGTTTTAAATATAAAAAATGACGTACAGACATGTATGAAAAAAATAGACATTTATTAAATAAAACGGCCCATAGAAAGCCGACAAAAGAAAGAAAGAGAAAAGCGAAGAAACCAGAAAGCCCCCGAATAAAAGCAAGAAAGAAAGAAATAAAACCATAGTATAAAAGAAGAGAAATAAAAGTCGATAAAAACATTGAAAAAAACAAGAAAAGAAAGGCACAAAACAAGAAGGAAAGAAAAGAAAAAACTGTGAAAAAACAAAGAAAAAAAGGGTAAGGAAAAGAAACAAAGAAACCACACCAAAGCGACCGAATCCATCGACCAAACGAAACAACGCAACTAAATGGGCCGGCCGGATACTAGTCCAGCTGTAGGCGATTCCTAATAGGAATCTCTACGGGCGAGATATAGTCCTGGCGCCAATTTATGGCCTATCTTTTGTTAAAGGACTATAGGAGAATCGAGTGTTGCTTAAACCCATTTCATGGACAGCTCAATCGTTCCAATGCTATAAGGTCTGCTTGTGTTGCTAAATACCAAAACATCTCGACAAGAATTGAACAAACAAATCTCAAATAAGGAACTCTTTCCAAACAAGCCTGAAATGTAATTCGGAGGTGTATTGTTTTGCGGGAATTATTGATGTAACTTTCGGTTTCAAGGAATTTTTTCTGTTCTTGTTTATTATTCCCGTGTACTCAATTTGATATGCTATGCTCGAATAATTATACATAAGTAAATATGTGATCCACAATAACTTTGTTTCTCTTAACATCCAGTCTCCCACCTCCACATCTTTTAAACGAATTGTTACATCTATTATGAGGTTCCAATCTATTCGGAACAGGTAGCCTGGGTTTCTAGTTGTGTATTTTTAGGGGATAGTTGTGGCCATGGAGCATGAGTATAGTTTTATCAAGGGCTTCATTGCTACCTACATGCCACAATAGTGTGGGACAAGAAGATATGGTTTCTAGATTGTGAAGTTTTGGTGCTCGGGTACCTTTGTGCCCGTCTTTTTTTTTTTGGTGAAAAAATCAAAACGAATATTTCAAAGTTTAAAAAAATAAAAAATAATTCTGTGAAAACTCGTATGTATTCATTACCAATCCACGAAATTTTGTTTTGAAAAAATGTAATTTGTAAGATGTACAAAAAAACAAAATTACCGTCCAATAACAAAAAAAAGTCCATTTGAAAATGCATGTTTGTCTTTTTTCTATACGCCACGTGTGAAAGTAAAATGATATGAAATTTTGTAGATACATAATACATGTGCGTGTCTGTGTGTGAGCGCGCGCGCTTTTACAAAAAAGAAATTGCGTAATAGAAAATTGACTTTTGGAAATGGGCACCAAGGTGCCCATGCACCGTTGCTAATTTTCGTGATTTCTATTCCACTGACAGAAAATGAAAACGAAGCGTGTTAGCGTAATGCAGGGTTGATGGAGTGCAAATTGAGTTCCCGTATCCTCATCCTCGTCCGCGTCATCTCTCTCCCGTGACGCCTCCTCCTCCATGTCCAGAAACCCGATCGCATCAACGAGTCACCGCTCCAGATAGGCCTCCCGGAAGCAGGCATGCAGGTGCAGGTCACATGCATGCGCACATTGCCATTGTTGAGCTGTACCCCAAATATTGTTCATGGTCATCTGTGATGTCATAACCCACGCGCAGGTGCATCTGAACCCAAGGAAAGCCTTCTCGCTTAATTGACCTGCACCGGCCGGACCTGGCCGCGTTTGACATTGTCGTAGCACACAAAAACTTGAGGTTAAGTAGGAGATATCTGAGACGATGGTCTTGAGCCAATCCATGATGTCGTAGCCAAGTGCAAGTTGAGATGTACGTACTCTAAAGAAGAAGAAATGTTATCTCCAGATTAAGTTTACCTCCCGCACTGCCATTGGTCAATGGGTGAGCTAGCATGCTTAGCGGCAGCTAGCCAGACGTCGGGATTATTTTAGTTAATAAAATACGAGACTCGTCAAAACATTTCCTCCATTTTTGGCGTGCCGATAACCACGGACTTTGGTCGGGTTCATGGAACATTGACCAGACCGGTATATATATTTGCCGCCTCCTGAGCAGTAGCGGCGCCGCGTTTATTTCCTGATCACAAACTCAGCACGACAACTACGTATTATCCGGCTTTCAAGTTTCAAAACACGCGGCACATGGTACTCGTTGAGTTCATGGTTACAAACCTATTGAGCACGAGAGAGCTACATTTTTCCTTTTCGAGATAGTGAGCTCAGATTAATCTGCGCTGCTCCTATGAGAACGTTCAACGCAGGGTGTTTTCTCTTCACCGAGGGCTAGATCTACTCTGATCAGATATTTTCACGCTGCAAGCAGAATCTAATCACGGACGCCTGATGAGCAGCACGCGAGACCAGAGATAGATCGAGCAGCATATGAGATTCTTTTACCGCTTTGCTAAAGCCAAAGCCGCACACAGTGGAAAAGTAGATCCAGCGGCACGGCACGCAGCGACTGACAGGATCGGGCATTGCCAGCTGCATCACCACCGGAAAACTGGTGTGCCGACGAGCGAGGACGACGGACGACGGACGGTGACACGATCCACCGAACTGGAACCCCAACAGCACCAACTGTTTACTGTTGCCTGATTATTACTGTCCACAACTGTAGTAGTGCATCGTTTCGACTTAGCATAACGGAGTGCGTGCTCCGTCTGCACGGGGAGCATGTGGTGAGCCTTGTGCTGGTGTGCAGCAGCATTCGGTTGAAGGGACGAGTTGCCGACGAAGAGGACGCGCACGGGGCCTGCAGGCCAAGTGGCTGAACTGGTCGGCCGAGCTCGTGCGGTCGTGACCATTTCGTTTGGAAGTTCCGCAAAAATAATAGGGTGGTACGTAGAGCTACAGCAGCCGAGTTGTTTATGTTTTCTCCGTAGATCTAGTGGCGGCGTGGAGCTCTTAAGAAAACCAGTCTTGTACTCCTGCAGTAGTGCCGTCTCCTCTTTGAATAATGGAGTAAAACTGTTAGTAGTGCCGTCTTCCAGATTTGTTAAATTAAACTCACAAGTAGTGCCGTCTTCAGCCGCCTCCCGTATTTTAAATTCCAACCAGCAGTACTGCGGGCGACAAAAAAAGGAGCGAGTGTTGTTCAATGCACCACTCCACTCCACTCCATTGCC